AATCAAGAGCTTCTTTAGTTTGTGATGATTTCCTTTATTCTCATGACCTTTATGTGTGACTTAGGGGTGATACTGTAAGGAGAAATTAGATGCTGGTTACTCTTAGGGGTTAAAAGGTTTAATGTACATGTAAAGTTGTTAAGTGTTAAAATTTTTGGCAAGGAGAGAAGTCATTGGAGTATGTTCCCTCACTGCAAAGCCCAGTATATATATGTTAGGGCCTTTTCCAAATGCGTTACATTATAGCTAAGAAATAAGTTGAGCAGTTTCTAAAATTGCCTTTATGCAAAATACAGTGTATTGGAATAGTCATACAACAAAGAGATTCAAGCTTATTTTAACCAGAGATTTACTTCAATTTCATAATTTGAAAGGGCATTTATGTGAGTTTATGTAATATTATATCAAAACAAAGATGCATGTTGAAGTATGATGTCTCCCTCAAATGTTGTGCAATTCTCACCACATTGTTTAGATAATTGGTATAGATGACTTATCACAGGGAGGTTATGTGATTGTTACTGTATAAAGAATGTTGTTTATTTCTTTTCACATTGTTGAGAAAGTTTGTCAAAGATGACTTATCAAACAAAGGCAATGTGATGGTTACTGTATAAAGAAGAGCCATGATACTATAATTTGACAGGGGAAAATATCAAATTTAAAAAAAAATTTTTTTTGATTTTTATTCAGCATGATGCAGGGGGTTTTTAAGGCCTGGTAGAGAGGTAGAGTTTTGTGATTGCACTTTGAGTACAATCTAAGAGAGCTTTAGAATATATTACAGCTGGTTGGGAATTTATTAAATTTAAATTACTAGTGCAAAAGAGTCAGGTTTGATTAAGCAGTGAAGATGTGAATTTGTATCAGACCTGTAAAAAGTTTTGAGTACAATGTACATGGTATATTTGTTATCTGCTCATTTAGGTAAAACCTGCATGATATTTTATATATTTTTTCATCATATCAATATGGAGACCTTGGTTCAGGTCTCTGAAACGATGTTAAAATTCCCTTTTCTCTGTACAGGTTCCATCTTGACCCGTTTACACCCATGATCTACATGTCAATTCTCTTTACTGTTTGCTGTAAATTTCTCTTTCTTTTGGTTTTGAGAATCTAGTGTCAAATCAACCAACATCTTGTTGTTGACTTCCTTTTCTTTTCTTCACCTTTCTGCTTGAAAGTGTATTTACGTAGTAAGAGCAGAGTATTCTAGTCACTCCTGGGAGTATAGGAGTTAAGTTGCAGTTAGTTGCCCCCCCCCCCCCTATAAAGTATAATTGTGTGAAGACATAAACAGATAATTCATATGTATTTTTGAAAGTTATCAGTTACTCAGCTTGTAGGTTTGACATGTCAATAAAATCATGTCTAAAACATGTATGTGCTGCAGAAAGAGGAGAAAGAGCATGTGATTCCATACAAACAAGAAAACAAAAACATTTGGTGCTTTTAATAAGACAAGTTTAAAACTTTTCCTAACAGTTGCATTTATAACCAGAAGTGTCACACCTGTTACCAGAATTTTAAACCTATTACTTCTAAGATCTCATTAGTAATTCTCCTTACTGTCTGCCAAACAATTTTTATAATAGTTGTTCTGAAGATTTTGCATTGGATCAACTAGTAATCCCCTATTTGATTTTTTTCATTATTCTTATCACTTGTCGGCTCTACAAACGTATTGATGCTGTAAGGAGATATTCTTTCTTGGTCATTCATGGGAGTGAAAATATTTAACTACACATAAACAGTACATTAAATGTAAAAGGAACAAAGTTTGATGAATGCAATTTGATTGCTTGTTTTATTTTTGCTCCAATCTAATTGGCTTGCATTAACATAAACAGAAATTATACCTATACAATCACTAGGAACTAAGGCAAATGCCATAATTTCAAATATAAATAAAGCTGTATAAAAAGGTTCAACAGTGTAACTTGAATAAAATAACTACCCTGTATGAAACAGCAAACGTCTATAATATGGCAATTTTTTGTTACCTGTGTAAAGGAAGGCACCTTGAAGCAACCATATTAATCATACAGTAGTATTAAACAGAATTTGGGGAAAGTGATGTCAAGTAAATTTTTTGAGGCAAACATTGTAATACACCTAGGGGACACATTATACAAAACAAATCATTTGTGCAGTTTGAAATCAAACTCCATCTGACACTGGTTTTCAAAACAACAACTGTCTGGGCAAAGTGAATGAATAGTTCAGGTGATTTTCCAAGTCTCAGGGAATGGCCAACTCAAACGGGTTCCACTTTCCCAAATGGTTTCCACAATTTGTACTGTCTTTTCTCCTTAGTAAGTTCTTGTGGTCAATCACCTTCTGTCTCAGTTTTAGAAGGTTGTTAACTTGGCAGTTTCTTTGGTAAGAAGGACAGCAAGACAGCCTTATACACAGATCCATCACACCCCTTTTTTTAGCTAGTGATCTTATTTTCTAGGAGGACCATGGATAAATTCATTTTGTGCAGCAGTGAAGAATTCAATGAGGTTATTTCTCTCCATTCTTGGTCCTTCATCATGACTTAAATCCACATCTTCCCATGGCCAGTAATACCGTGTGCCGAGTGATGATCTGTATATTTTAACAAAAAAAAACAAAACAAAAAAATTAAAGAAATTTCCAGCTATTTTCAATCAAATTTAAATTTAACCCTGCATTGCAGGCAGTGAGTAAGCCACAAGAGTATCTCACTACACTGAACCAATCAAAATGCAAAGTCAGCAGATGTCATCTACATTATTAGTGGGAAAAAGAGTATGACCAAGTATTGCATCTGGTTTAGGTTTAAAATCTCATTAGTTGAAAAAGTTGCATCTGCTTTTATGTAATCACACCAAATTTCAAAGCAAAACCAAAATCAGTTAGTGATAGACTTTCAGATAACCAACACAGCTAAGAGTGTTTCTGCTTACCAGACAATTTATGCTAAACAAACTAAAGACAGCTCTTACAACTGAGGTTCACTTACTTGAAAGAAGCCACTGAATCTCTGGGAATTTCAAACGTGGACTCATGAGTGTCTTTGTTGTAAAAATATAACTGCTTAGCGGAGCGACTGTGAGCATAAGTCCAAGGTTCTGTAGATAAAAAAAAATTCAATAGTGCATTTGTTTCATAGTGGAGGTGGGATTCAGTACCGACTTTTTGTGCACCTCACTCCCAGAGTTCTGCAAGGCACACAACAGATTTTGCTGAAAAGGAGGGGCTGTGCATAGTCTAGAGAAATTCTGTGAGGAGGAAAAGTCTTGTGGCAGAAGTGGAGTTTTCCAGAAGTGCTGAGGTATAGTGGTGGAAGTGAAGTGCCACATATGTATAGTTTGAGAGGGAAGTGGGCCTGTATGGTAGCTGGGATAGAATTAGATTGAAACAGAATGACGATTGCCTACCTTGAATACGTTTAATGAAGAAAATTCCTTTGGGGACAAGGTGTCGTCCATCTTCCAGCAAAAAGCACTCCCTTGGTTCTCTGCCCATTCCTTTGACAATTTTCATCTCAATCCTGAATTGAAAGTGAAAAAGAATGCAAGTTTCCCTTAACATGAGGGATGCAACTGTCTCAAGTTGAACTCAAAAGCCAGCAAACTGCAAGGGTCCAAGAGGTGAGCATGGTTAGTGTCTAGGTACAAGAGCATCACCAAACAGCAAAAACAGCCAACCATGAGGTAGGAGATGAAAGTGAGTCCTACAATAAGTATAAATCTAAGTAGAAAATGTTTCAAAAAGTACGTAATGCCTCTTTCAGAAGCTTCTCTTCAATTCAAAACTACTTCATCAATCTGCATTATCTGCACTATAAAAATGTAAGGTCATGTGAGTTTGGTCATTAACATTTGTGAGGAAACTTACTTTGAGAATATTTCTTTAAGCGAACTATTGTCAACACGAAAAACTTGTTTGAGCCTGAAAGAACATTTGAAAATTAGATCAGTAAACTCCATAATTTTGTGTTTTACATTGATGCCGATAGTCATACTGTACAGCTAGAAAATATATTTTTTCCACTTCTTTCACTGTGCATTTCAAGACTTCTACAAGAAAGAAGATTTTCATTTGCTTCTTTAGTCCACTGAGTCACTCTCATATTTGATTGAATTATAGCAGTAAATTCATCGTCAGGTTGGTTAGTTGTTTTTCAGTAGGTTGGGTGTTCAGTAAGGCCATCAGTCTTTCAGCTTGGTGGTCGATGCCTGGTTGACTGGCTGTCGCTTGTCTCTGTGCTTGATTTATTGTGTTTTAGTTGGTTGGTCAAGTGATTGGTTGTTCAGTTGATTTGTAATCTGTGGGTTGATCAGTTCTTTGGTTCATCTGTTGAACATTTGAACCTACCATTTATTGATTTTTGGTCTTAAAGTTTGTGAGTGGAATATGATATCTGTGTCATCTTCAACCATCATTTCACGACCTCAGTTACCTGTTAATATGTCAATTGAATGTTTACCTGAGAGGAACCATTGCTGGGCATGTTGGTTTGGTGACAGCTTTTATAAGTAAACCCGCCATAGCCATTCTACAAACCAAAGCAAACAACAAGTCATCAACAAACTCACCAATCTTCATTACTAATTACCCAACAAACCTTTAAAAAAAGAACCTTGTGTAATGCAAGTAACGCACATGCTTGCCTGAATTCTCCCTCACAAAGAAATCAGAAAAAACAAAAGGCAAAGTTTAATCAAAATTCATTTTTTCTTAAGCATCAGAATTCACACTGTACCTCTCATGATAGTGTTTACTCCTCACATCTTTACCTCCAAGAATGACAGCATCCACAATATGAACTGCTGCAGATCTTCTCTGTCCTTTGCCCTTATAACAGGAGATAAAA